AAATCTGAGGAGTACAAAAGTATTGACAAATAAAAAAGTATTTTAGGAATAAAAATATTAATTCTAAACTGACAAAATATAGGTGTGCACGGGTTAGAACATTAAATCAATACATATAAATATAGTATTATATTATGGATTTAACATCTAATTTTCAAAACTATATTAAATGATATTTAAAATATGAAAAGTATATGTGTAAAAGGATTAAAATAAAATAATAAAAAAACAAAGGCTAAATGTACAAATTATTAACTTAAAGTAATAACTAAATCATAACTTGACATAAATAACAAGGATTAGCCATGCAAATAACTCAAATAAAACATAGATAGTGATCAAAATGAAAGTATCATAAATTAGTGGTTAAATTAAACTAAAAATAAAAGCAACATAACGATAACTAGGAACTAAACTGAAATTAAATAAAAACGCCTGACCAAATTAAAAATCATCAAAGATACATAAATAACCAAATATGGACAAAAATGAACTAAGATAGAAGTAAATAGCTTGAAATAAAATGGATTAATTTTTCATTCACAACTAAAATGTAAGGTCTACAAAACGAGGGGACCAAACACGCGATTATCCCGAAATATTAGAACACGCAGGATGAGACATATCAAAACGGTGTCGCATTGAGGATGGGGTATAAACCCATCTTAAGGGTTTTATTCAAAACCCTAAATCATTTCTAACCCCCAGTCATTATCTACATTTCCCCTTTATTCTTCCCCGTTTCTCTATAGAAGAGAGGAACCAAACCCTAATCGCGACATGTGGCACTATTAAAGGACCCGATTTGGGTCCCCAAACTCTCGGTCAGTCCTCTCTTACACGAACAGCCCTAACAATACCCATAAATGAACCCGTCTCCTCCCTAAAAAAATCTCAGACATACCACTTCGAAAAAACTCCTTTTATGCTCCGATTCAAGAAGTGATTATCGATCCTAGATAAAAGGTGGGTTTTCTCTTTCTTTCAAATGGTTTTTTTAATCTGGTTTTTCTTTTTGTTTTTTATGTGTATTTTTTGGGGTTTCCCCTGAATCCTCCTTGATCTCTTCTTTTTATCATTGCTTCTGGATGAGATGATGATATCTAGGACTATGGATCTACTTTTTTTATTTGGGTGGATTAAATCCCGATTTAACTTGGTTTTTTAGTGGGTTTTTTCGGATTTGGTGATGTTCTCTCTGATTTGGGTGATTTTCATGTTACTGTGGATGACGACAGCGGCGGCAGGGTGTTCGGCAGCAACACGTGCGAGCGAGGAGACGACTGATGGGATTCACGCGCCGGTCTAGAGGTGAAGGCTCAGGCACACGCGCCGACAATTGACTGTCCATCTGGTTAGTGGCGGCTGGATATTTATTAGGGTTTTGAAACCCTAATTTTAATTAAGTCAGGTCTTAGCTGGATTGAATCCGGTTTGTATCCGGGTTGGGGTGCTGGGTCATCTGGGTTGGGTCTTGTGTATTTGTATTTCGGGCTTGTGTTTGGGCCTACACAAAATGTAATAAAAAATAATAATAATAAATAAATAAAAGACCCGGACAAAAATGAATATCTATAATCATATTTTATTTATATTTTATCCTTTACTACATCTAGAACTTTTTATATATTTAGACTTTGGGACATTTTTTTACATGGAACTATGAACCATATTTAAACATACATTATTTTAAAAGTATGTGGATTTATTATTATTTAATTAAGAGCTTATTTATTAATATTTATTCAATGTATAATTTATTTTGAACCGTTTATAATTTTTAAATAGAAATTATATTTTATAAATTTTTATTATTGTAATTTTTGAGATTTGACCGTAACATCTAAGTCTACTGAGTTACAATCAAATATCTACATCTTCCGCATCAACAACAACAACAACAAAACCCAATTCCCATATGTATGGGGTAAGGGGGAGGTAGGGTAGTAGGCTGCCCCCAACGCCAGGTTGGGAGTAGTTTCCGTGAAAGACCTCCGACAGTCAGAAAATTAAAAGTATAGATAAAATGCAATGCATGTATAAATAAATACATAGCTAAACAGTATTCATATGCAGTCATTAAAATCATATGTGCGTTTGTAATGGGAATTAATCCCTGTAAAATAATCCCTGCGAAAGAATCTCTGCATATAGACAGAAACATAAGACCCAGCTAAATTTAAAAGAGGAAACATGAAGAGAATGATAAACAAACGTCAACGATATCAAGCCCAGTTCCAATCCTTCATAAATACCAATAACAGAAACGTATAAAAAGTAGAAGTCATGGAAATTACTACAAAGGCATTAAAAGAAGACAGAGATGATACACCCTATAGATGTGACCCACACTACTCGACTACCCTAGTTTTTAGCCTCCATATTTTCCTATGAGAGGTCATGTCTTCGGTAAGGGCTAACTCCATCAAATCAGATCTCAAGCAGTCTTCCCACTTCCTCCTTGGTCGTCCTTTCCTTCTGGCACCGTCGACTGTAATCGACTCTACCCTTCTGACCGCATCCGACGGTAGTCGCCTAAGGACATGCCCAAACCACCGTAGTCTTCCCTCCCTCAATTTTTTGGAAACAGACACCACCCCCAAGGACATCCTAATAGCAGAGTTTGTCGTCATATCCCACAGAGTCCTACCACATGTCCATCGAAGCATTCTCATTTCTGCGGCCTCTATCCTCCTTACGTGATCCTTCTTGGTTGCCCAACATTCTGATCCATACAACAGCGCTGGTCTTATTGCCATTCTATAAAATTTTCCCTTAAGTTTTAGAGGCACCTTCTTGTCACACAAAACTCCAGTAGCGGCCCTCCACTTTAGCCATCCCGCCTTTATACGGTGTGTAACGTCGTCATCTACACTCCCATCTTTATGTATCATAGACCCTAGGTACTTGAAACAATCCTTTGATGGGAGAACGTGTCCTTCTATGCATACTTCTACATCTTCATCGTTTTGGTTCCCATTGAAGTTGAACATAAATACTCTGTCTTTTCAATATTGATCCTTAAACCTTTTTCTTCCAAAGCAGTCTTCCAGGTAGCCAGTCTACTATTCAACTCAGATTTTGTTTCAGCAACTAGGACAATGTCGTCAGCGAAAAGCATACACCATGGTACACCGTCTGGTGTCGCACAAAAGATGTCATCCATAATCAAGGTGAAGATGTAAGGGCTAAGAGCCGACCCCTGGTGGAGTCCGATTTCCACCGGGAATGCCTCGGTGTCGCCAACTGTAGTCCTGACGTAAGAAGTAGATCTACAGTACATATCACGAATTGCCCGGATATAAGCAGTTGGGATCCGTCTCGTTTTCAAAGTCTTCCAGATCGTATCGCGGGGAACGCTATCATAAGCCTTCTCAAGGTCAATGAACACCATGTGAAGATCTCTAGACTTTTCCCTATATTTCTCCATAAGCCGTCGAAGTAGATGAATCGCCTCCATGGTAGACCTGCCTGGCATAAAGCCAAATTGGTTTTCCGAAACCCTAGTGACTTGTCTCAACCTAGCCTCTATCACCCTTTCCCATAGCTTCATGGTATGGCTGAGTAGTTTAATACCTCTGTAGTTACCACAACGTTGGGGATCTCCTTTATTTTTATAAATTGGTATCACCGTAGACTCTCTCCACTCCTCTGGCATCTTGGCAGTCTCTAAAATAATATTAAAGATGTTGGTCAACCACTTAACTCCCTCTTCTCCTAGGGCCAACCACACAGTGATAGGAATTTGATCAGGACCGACAGCTTTGTCCCTTCCCATCTTTCTAAGAGCCATTTGACTTCCTCAAACCCAATCCTACTTGTAGGGCAGTCATTGGCCGTAGTATGATAGTCGGCTGACCCATCAACGATACTATCTCTACATGGAGAGGCACCGTCATTAAATAAGCCAAAGAAGTAACTACCCCAAACCCTCTTAATATCGTGATCTTTCGCTAAAAGAACACCATTGTTGTCCTTAATAAACCTAATGTTACCTAGATCCTTTTTCCTATTCTCCCTAGATTTTGCAAGTCTGAAGATGCCATTTTGTCCTTCCTTGGTGTCTAATCTCTTGTACATTTCCTCGTATGCCTTATCCTTTGCTTTAGCTACCGTTTTCTTGGCTTCCCGCTTTGCCTCCTGATATCTTTGTTTAGCTCTCGACCTTTCTTCGTCGTCATTGCATTGTAGAAACTCCTTGAAGCAAGTTTGTTTTGTCTTCACCTTAGTTTGGACTTCGTCGTTCCACCACCACGATTCTTTATGTTCCTTGGCCTTCCCCGTCGACAACCCAAGGGTGTTTTTGCCCACCTCTCTGATGGAATTTGCCATATTTTTCCATAACATATCTGCATTTTTTGAGTTTGTAGTTTCAAAACCTGTATTAGACAAAACCTTACTCCTAAAGTCATCAGTTGTCGCTCCATGTAAGTTCTTCCAGAGGATCCTAGGTTTACCAAGTTTAGCCCTCCTATGAGTGCTCCGCCCGTGGGGTACGCGGAACACCAAAACCAACAATCTGTGTTGTGATGCACATGCCTCTTCAGGGAACACCTTACAGTCAATGCAAGCCCATCGTTCCCGATTTCTAACCAAGATGTAGTCGATTTGGGTACAATGTCCCCCGCTATGAAACGTAATCAAGTTCGCATCTCTCTTATTAAAGAAGGAGTTAGTGATCACCAAATCTTCCGCATCAATGCTAATATAGTACAATTTCTAAAGAGACCAAACAACAATTTTACCAGGGTTGCCATCTACGTAAATAACTATTTTTTTAAAAAATTGATACTTAAATTTAAAATTTAATATTCAAATTTAACAATTTTTTCTAACTTAATCCTTTTGAATTTTATGATATAATATGTTCTCGAAATAACACATCGTCAAAATTCAAGTTCAACGATTTAAAGTTTCCAATTCATTAATGTGCACGGAAAACTCATAATCACATTTACAATTGCTTCCGAAATCCTTGTTTTAATTCAGAGATACAAAGCCACTATTTCATTCATTACAACTTGGGAAATTGCCTTTTGCAATTTACAAAAACAAAACAACATGCTTGTCAAGCAACCCAACATCCTTGCCTGCTGCTGCTTTAACCCTTCAAAAAAGACAAGAAAAGCAATCGATTAGAATGGCAGAAGAAAAAGAACATTACGATTAAAGGAAAGGTAGGAGAAGCTTCTTCGATATCGGTCGAGACATATAAAAAACAAGAACATCTATGCGCAGCCATCCTGTCTCCTCCTTCGACTTTGTAAATACCACGTGTGAGCCACTACATAGCATGGAAGAAGAAAGCCAGCAAATTGGAGAAGCAAAACCTGAAACTGATGACCCAAAATCTAATTCAGTCTTATCTCGAAGCAAAACGAATTACGAATAAATTTAAGTATCCCGTGCTTCCCCCAACCTTCGTCACCTATGTCAGTGCTATCAACAGCATTTTAAAAAGAAAATTTTCAATTTATACACATAAACGTAGTGCGTTTAGTAATTCAGCGTGTTCACCTTTACATCCCAGCAAATATGCATGACATTTCAATGGCACAGTGCTGAATGTTACTATGTAAAATATATGGCATTTACATGGCACAACATACGGGCATAAACACAATACAGTCAACCGAGGAACTACTATGGTGTATTAGATATATTCCAAAGATGTCGCTTTGTACTCACGTTAATCAAAGTTGACTCCTGGATCATGCCAGAATCTCTTGTCAACATAAGGACTTGGCGTAAGAGCAAGATGATAAGCAACTGCAAACAAACCGACACAACTTTCCAAACATGAGACAGATTATCATTCTTGGGTACAGAATCTTGAGAAATAATAGTCTTATTTGCTTACAATAAGAGCAACCAAGCGAAGACAGGCAAGGCTACTGCTATTTGCAGCAACGTAATCTTCGTACTCTGATTGGAGTAGTTGGCTTTGAGAAGCAGTTAACACTAGAAGGTGTGAGTCACGGATATCGATATGCGGGCTCCAAGCTTGCCTGGTTACAAAGATTATGTCAAAGCAAAAAAGTAATGAAAATGAAAAGGCACGGCCAACACACGAGATCAGAGGTATCAATGAATAAATATGCATTTTCTAGCGATAACCTTTTGAGAACTTAAAACCAACCAAAAGGCATGTCATGGACATTTTCCTTTAGAAGGAACGAGCTGAACAAATCATTACTCTAATCTTCTGATATTTTTTTCTTTTCATCTTCTTAGTTTTCATATACGTCCTATGGTCCACTTAATATTTTAGATAATATATATATTACACAAGTTTGCCAATAAAAAGTTAATATGTTGTCTGATATAAACCATATAGATGGATTTCCAAAACTGGTTTATAATCTGTACCACCTTTTGTGCAAGGCACGATAATATCGATAGAATTATAATCATTCACAGGAATGACACAGAGGTAGAAGATAAAAACCAAAAAGAGGATTTACCTTATGTCGATTGCCAAAACGTCAGGATTACTTCTGGTCGGAGGCAGAGAATAATTTGGTGAAAAATCCTGATAAAAATTAGAGCAATATTGTACCCATTATCCATCAATGTACTTTTTCTCCCTTGATACATGCAACAATTAAAAGAAAAGAGATAAAAACACGCCCAACCTGTTTGCATATTTCGCAAGTTATGTCACCTTTCTTGTTGCACCATCTTTGAATGCACTTCCTGTGCACAAACTGAAGCAAAAACATGAAATTGATAAGTTCAAATATACTTCAAATAATTCAATTTACAAATGTATCTTAAACCATATTTCCGTACAACCAACCAATCAAGAACAGACTTCAAAACTCAAAAGACATGTATCAAGTTGAACCATTACAGTATGCCAGGAGAAGCAGAACAACTTAAATGCAGAGAATACGCAAATACTCAACTTAAAAACTATGTATATGAAAGTATAAGCACAATGGATGATATTGGAGGAAATGGTCAGGGATGGACGAGGGGAGGCTGGGACAGTCGGCCTGAAAATTTCAAATTGTCGTATATTTTAGATATTATCTTTGTATTTTCTATTAATAATCTGTTTTCACCCTCTCAAGTTTGTAAGTTCTACCTCTTCTAAAATCGTAGAAGTTTATCAGGCCATTAAAGTTCCCTTAAGGAAATGAGGAGTTCGTGTAATACAGCTAGGCATCTTCTATTCCAATGCCAAGTAGAAGCCATGGAAATGCAAGAAAGAAACAGGAACAGGTGATGTATGCTGTTTTCTTATAAAATCTCTTACGAAAATAGAAAGGAACAGAGTTTGGGTAGTGATAATTGATAATTTCATATTGAAGCTTAGGAAATAATGTACAAAGAGAGAGAATAAGTCAAAAGGAGAGCAGAAATGAGAAAACTACATAGAGAGCACATGCCAAGAAATGCTCGCTTTCCAAAACCAATAAAACATCCTAGAAAACATCATATCACCATGGCTACAAAACTGAAGCCCAATTAGCCAATAGACCCAGCATTAGGTCAACAAAGTCAAAGGATCAATATATTTTAATATTTTTCCCAACTAACCCCTCACCATAAAAAGAAGAGGGAAAAAATCATTCAATCAAAATCATCCAAGCAAATAATAAGAATTAGACCGGTTAACGAATCGACCGTATTATTGGTTCACTGATTGAATCGGTTGAATTGATCAGATCAGTCGGATATTTTTAAATAATCGAATATTCTTTATCTTTCTAATGGCTTAGTAATCCTAATTTAATTTATTTTTTTGCTTTTGAATATTATAAAATTTACATTGTTGTTTTAAGGGATCATAAATCAAATTAAACTCGAACTTGTGAAATTCGTTGCAAAGACATTAATTAATCGACTATGTACCAATTTAGGGCGCTGTGGGGGTGTTAATTTTTCCCCACGCGTAACCGACTCCCGAATCCAGATTTTGGTAACGTAGACTGCAATTTTTTCGTTTTAATTAAAATTATTTTATTTAAAATGGAAAAACGTTTTTGGATGCCCAATCACACCCTAATCAAAGATTGGTGGCGACTCCTCGAACCTATCTTTTTATTTAACAATAATCGTAAATTTTTTCGAAACGATAGGTTTTCTAAAATCGCATTGTTTTTAATTAAAAAATCTATCATAAAGAGAATAATTAAAAATGACGTAGTTTTTTAAATCTCGCTCACCGGCGCACTTAAAAATCGTTTCGACATTTACCATAACTACGACCAACTGCAATTTATTGCTATTAGCTTGGCGGTCCGGCTCCGGCAACATTCTCAAAGTCAAATAAAACTCTTTTCCCTCCCTTATAAGTTACATTCAAAGCAAGAACCAAATAACTTCTGTGGTAATAATAGTTGTTTACATTTTTTAAAATTTTAAATTTAAACACTAAAAATATCAAGAATATAAGTTTTAATATCAAATAGTTAAATGTTACCTTTAAACATAGTTATCTTTAAAGAATTCCAGAGATATGAGCACCATGACTATTTTTTTATATAAATAATTTAAGAATGTCATCTGTTTGACCAGATTAAATTTATTTTTTTAAATACTATAATGATTTTCATATTATAATCACCATAAATTAGTAGATTAATCTGATGGAAGCTTTATAATATAAAATTGAAAGTTGAAAGTAGATTAGTAGGTAAAGGAAAAATAAAGTAAGATAGATCAATGGACCCTATTAAATGATTTTTTTTTATTTCACACTTGAAGCTTATTATACAAATATTTTTACTTTCCATGAAATAATTCCGAGTAAGGGAATATATCAATATCAGTTATGAAATTCAAAGTTTAGGTATTGAAATTAAACAAAAAGTAAATTTTAGGTATAGTTTTGAAAAAAATTAAAATGTAGGTATTAAAATGAATTAAAATTAATAATTTAGATAATAAATGTGTAATTTACCCTAATAATAATATTGATAGCGTTGCCATGAAGTTGGGGATGCATGTATTGCTGTATAGTTGATGGGAGGATTTAATAATGGTGAGTTGGGGAAGGGTGGTGCAAGTGAGGGTTTAATCAAAATTATTGAGGGACAATTTGGATACGGGAGAAAGATGTGATTACACCGAAAAATCACTTTTTAAAACTTTAATTACTTGTTAGACACTCTTTTATCTTTATTTATCGATTTAACATCTTTTACAGAAAGGCGCACTCCATAAAGCGTGCCTTACATTGATCTGACGCCACGTGGGGTAAGGCGCGCCCCTTGAAGCGCATCTTGTGGAACTTGTAAAAAATCCGGATGCTAGTTTTGTAAATATTTTTAAAATGATATCTAATATGTAATTAATTTTTATTAGGGTGATATTTATGAAAAAAATGTCAACTTTATTTATTTATTTATTTGTGTGAAAAAAAAACTTTCAACATTAAAATCATTAAATATTCTTTTACAAATTATTTTATAACTTGACAAATTTTAATTTTTGCATGAAATTACACAATACGTATAATCTAGTATATGAAAACTTTGAGGGTAAGTATTTTAAAATATGAATAATTTTATAAAAATTTTATAACTAGTATTTCTTTTTCAAAATGATGATGATAAATATTTTATAATTTAAAAAAATTATAAATTTTATATATTTTTTTAAAAAATTATTGACTTTTAAAATTAATTGTTTAAAAATATAAAAAATATTAAAATAAACTTTTAAAAAAATTAACAACAGTTAATAATGTTTATTCATCTTTTAATAAAATTATAATTTAATATTTATTTTAAAATTTTAAAATTAATATTATAAAGAATATTTTAAATAAAGAGGTGATATTTTTTAGCTTTATATTCTTTTTTATTAAATTTTATTCACTTTTAATTATTTTTTATTGCATTTTTATTGATTTTTTAAAAAATGAATAATAATTCATTTGATATATCAATTGTAATTAAAAGTTTATTTTAATATTTTTATATTTTTAAACAATTAATATTAAAAGTCAATAAACATTATTAACTGTTGTTAAAAAATAATATCACACAAAAATAAATAAATAAAGTTGATAGTTTTACACAATTATCACCTAAAAGAAATTAATTATATATTAGGCACCGTTTTAAAATATTTATAAAACTAGCACTCAAGTTTTTTACACATTTCACAAGGCACGTTTCAGGGGCGCGCCTTTCCCCACGTGGCTTAAGGCGCGGTGCATGAGACGCACCTTCCTATAAAGGGTGTTAGATCAGTAAATAAAGATGAAAATATGTCTGACAGATAATTAAAGTTCTAAAAGGTGATTTTTCAGTATAATCATCAGAGAAAGAAGGAAAAAGAAAACGAAAAACTAAAGGTCTTGCATAAGATCGTTAGTAGAATAAAAATAAGGGTAAATTATTTATTTAATCACTCACCTATTATTTTGTTTCTATTTTAATCATATAATATTTTTTCAAAATTATACTTAATGTTACATTTCATTTACTTTTGATTAGATGAGTTTTTTTAAATAATAATGTATACCAATTTTTAGGAACTGAGATTTGTTATAATATCTTAAATTGATCCATAATAATCGATGGATCTGAGAGTGTCACATTATGTCATAAAATGACTGACAAATTTTAAATTATCCATTTCCTTCGTAATTTTCAAATCATTCTTTAAAATGCATCAAATCAAGACCAATATGGTAAATATCTAAACCTAAAAATATTTTATACACTACTAGAGCTCCGTTATTTTAAATCTAAATACAAGAAACCATAATTTCAACTTATTAAAGTTTCATACTACACATGTCCACTAACGAAAATAGATAGCATACTATGATGATCTCACTAAGACTCCTCCCTGTATTGTCGTTGTCCTCCTCAAGCTAAAGAAGGCTATGACATGTATACAAGAAAACAATTTCGAATATTATATTTTTATAAAGCTCATTAGTATATATCTACTTTTCTATACTTTATAGTATTCATAAATATAAACATGCAAGTTACAATATAAACAAGATGGCATGGTGAGTAGTTTATCTATCTTAAAGGTTAGGTGTTATCATCTATAAAGTACATTAATATCAATGAACACATTATACGAGTCGTACAAATTATCCATATGTCAATGTGATATTATCATGAGTTATAAATCAAACAAAATAAGTGTCATGAAGAGTATGTATACACATCACAAGTTATTCTCTAACTAACCCTTTCATCTAGTTCATATCATACTCATAAGTCATCTATAAACATAAACACATTTCATCATTGATCCAAATCATTAGCACTTTTTCATGTTTAAATTTGTTTTCTTCTTGAGTCTCCTATATGTCAAATATTAGGTACTCGAATAAATCTTGTGACCACTTATAATCATTAATTGTCATAAAATTAAGTGTTCATGTTTTCGCGAGTAGCACACATGGTCATTAATCAAAACGGAACATGTGTATGACATATAATCAAATTGCCATTACGATTATGCATCATCTCATTTTCATCAAAATTCACAAAATAATTATGAACTAGTCACTATCCAACATCATAGTTATGTACAAAATTATTATTAATTCAAAGCTTTCATATCTTAGAATCATTATGGTTAAGGGTGTTTTTGTAATTTCAGATCTTATAACTCTTTACTAGCATATTTAAGAACTTACAAAAAATTTAGTGTTTTATTGAAGGATTTTTAAGGCTTGCTACTACAAGAAGTATCAGTACTCTAACTTAGATATTGGTGCTCAAATAGAATTATTGATATTCGTAGGATAGTATCGATACTAAATGATAATATTGAGATTTCACAAACATATTTAGTATTAATATTGACTTAGGAGCGTCGATATTGAATGAACAATATCGTTACTCTCTCTTAAAAAAGTCCATTTTCAAAGGGCATTCTTACAATATCAATACTCATTTATAGTGTTTCATTACTCAAAGTCAGAAAAATCAAAACGAGACTCGAAAAACCATTTCGATTATCCTTTGAACCCATCTTTTAAAGCTCTAACTAATTTTTAAAGTTGAGGGGATTATTAACCTGTTTTTTAGCATCGGTTTTATAACTTAATAATATAAAAAAATAAAACATCATAAACATATTTACACCCAAAACACGCAACATATAATACATCATAATTTTAAAGCTAAATGTGTACTATATGAATCTTCAACTACTCTCCGGCTTCCACACTAACACTTGTACAAAAATGATTTTAATGATCAAGGGATTATTATTATCCTTTGAGGTCTCAAATTTAAACACCACATAAGTAAGATGATTCAACAAAATGTTTTAAGCTTTACAAGCTCCTCTCAAAAAACAAAGGAAATTAAGGCTTGTGCATCCTTTACTTTCTAATATGGGTGAATCACCTTTAGGTCCTCCCTATTTCAATCCTTAATACAGTAATTCTTCTTGTACACCTAATTGGGAACTTGACTTAATAACTCAATTGCTCTGACTAATTGGTTAATCTTTGACTCGGGTTAACATAGGAACATTGACTCAGAATTTTGAGTTATTATATTTTCAATTTTGGAAAAAAGTAAAGGACATAGATAAAAAAATCAAAGTGTTTAGGGTTAATTTTGTAGACCTAAAATTTACATTGGTGTCCAAAATAATTATCTCTTTTTCTTTCATTCCTTTATATTTTATCTATAAAATAAAAATATAATGTTAAAAAGGTGAAAAATAGTCAGAAAAAGATGGGTAAGTGATACTTTTCATTTATTTATTGAGTAATGATTTTTTTCTATAATAATTATAATATAATATTTATTTAGAATCTTTCTTAGTTATTGAGAACACATATTCGTAGACATAATTGTTTGAACTCACGGGTTTTAAGGACAATGACATTTTCTTTAATCACTGAAACCACTTAATAAATTATTGAGTAGTGATTTGGTCTAAATAAACTTGAGCTTACGAAAATTTAATTTCGAAGACAACCTAATTAGAACTTGTCTGCACTCGCTTGTTTGTCACTCTTTCTTTTTTTGGTTGTCCTCTCAGTTCCTAATACTTCACTTTGATTAATTTGGATTGATCTAAGTCGTACACTTAGTTTTGGTGGTTGAGTCTCTCAATAATTATTATTCATATACATAAAGACTCGAATTTGAAACCTACTTAAATAATATCAAACTGTTTATTACATGAATCAACCCGTTTGTTGCTTGCCTACTTAAATAATATCAAATTATTTATCACATGAATCAACATGTTTGTTGCTTGCCTACTTAAATAATATCAAACTATTTATCACATGAATCAACATGTTTGTTGCTTGTTTGTCATCCTCGTAGCTTCAAATATTTATGTATTGTTTAAAAAATAAAACTTATGATGCAATGACAAAATTCGATTAAAACAAAGTTTCGGTTGATATTATTAGGTTCAAGTTCGATCCTTTATCCCAAAGGGAGTTGGGCCTTGGTCCGACCCGTAAAATTCAAGTCGGGTTTAAACCCAAAATAGCCAGTATATAATGATAAAAGAAAGCTAGGGTTTTATCTCCCTCCCGTTCACATTTTCATACGAACCAAAGCTTTCAGCGGAAACAGCCGCTTACTGCGAAGAAAAAAAATGGTTAGCTTCTTCCTCTCTTTTGAACTTCACCTCACTCCCTTGGATTTGTTCTGACTGTTTACTTATTATTTCAATTCTCATACTTCTCGTTTGCATTCAGTTTTCTTTTAAGATTCGTTTGATGAGTTTGTTGCATCACTGTAAACATTTGCATGTTTTTATTGCAATTCTCAGTTAATAAATCGAATAAAAATCTTTCCTTTGTTTTGTAACATTGATTTTGGCTGCTGATTAATTTTGGGTTATTCACAAAATTGTTTTAAGATTACTTTGCTTGTATACTTTTAAATATTGTTTTTCATGCGATCGAAAAAAGGGAAATGTAGTTGCTGAAATGGAATGTTAGATCAAATGTTTTCTTTGGTTGTGTTATGGTAGTTGTGAATTTTTAGTGGCTCTTATATATTTGCCTTATCATGATAATATCAGTAATTTCGTTATTTTGAATGTGTGAACCATCCTTTATGTTAAATTTGGGTCAATATATTATTTTTAATGTGAAAATTCTTGTGCTTTTTAGACTCTAAATATTTGTCTTTGCTTAAACTTTTCTTCTTACAGGCTAGAGGGCTGAAGAAACACTTGAAGAGGCTGAATGCCCCTAGTCATTGGATGCTCGACAAGCTTGGTGGTGCATTTGTATGTTATCTTTTACTTTTTATTGTTTTTTGCCTTGATGTCATCATATTCTGATTCTGTGTTATTAAATTTTGACCATCCAGGCTCCGAAGCCATCATCTGGACCCCACAAGTTGAGGGAATGCTTGCCGCTCATTCTAATCCTGCGAAACAGATTGAAGTATGCTTTGACATACAGAGAAGTGATTGCTATTCTTATGCAAAGGCATGTTATGGTTGATGGGAAGGTTAGGACAGATAATACCTACCCTGCTGGTTTTATGGTTATGTTGAACTTGACATTATTTCTCAATTAAAGTACTTGTAGAATTTTAGTGTCGGATTTCTGCACGTTGTCAAGATCCTACACTGAAATCCAGTGTTACTCTAACTGCATTTTTCTTGAAGTACTTGTATTAGACACCTGAAGCATATTTGGATGTGTGCATGGGACTATGATCCTTTTAAGTACATGTAAAAAAACTTGGAAAAATTGAAGATACTCATGTTAGAAGCATACCCATGCTCAACATTCACAGTCGAGTCAAGTTCGAATTGTGTAGCTAAAATTGTTTTGCAATATTTTTCCGTGGATCACTATTTTATCCTAGGTTTTGAAATTTGTGGTTACTACCTATAGCTTCTATTTCAATCTCACTGAAATTTATGGGTCTTAACCATCCCTTCATGCCATCACCGGTGATGAGACCAAGGTTTGTATGAATGGGACCCTTGTATGTTATGTTTCTCGTTACTATGCTCTATCTACGTATTTTATCTCATTGATTGTCTTCAAGACCCTACACTAAAAGCCAGTGTTACTCTAACTGCATGTTTTGATGTGTGCATGGGAATATTTATGGGTCATACTGTTTAATGTACTTGTAGAATTTTAGTGTCTCAGATTTCTGCATGTCTTCAAGACCCTACACTAAAATCCAGTGTTACTCTAACTGCATATTTGGATGTGTGCATGGGAATATGATCCTTTAAGTCCATGTAGAAACTTGGAAAAATTGAAGATACTCATGTTAGAAACATACCCACGCTCAACATTCACAGTTGAGTCGAGTTTGAATTGTGTAGCTAAAATTGTTTTGCAATATTTTTCCATGGCTCACTATTTATCCTAGGTTTTGAAATTTGTGGTTACTACCTATAGCTTGTATTTCAATCTCACTGAAATCTATGGGTCTTAATTCTACTAATAGATATTGTATCAATTCCCAAGACAAATGAGGACTTCCGGCTCCTTTATGACACTAAAGGTCGTTTCTGCCTTCATGCCATCACTGGTGACGAGACCAAGGTTTGTATGAATGGGACCATAGTTTGTTATGTTTCTTGTTACTATGCACTCACTATCTACATTTTTATCCCATTGATTGTCTTGAGATGATTGACCTAATTTTGTTGATCTTGTACATTGCAGTTTAAGCTTTGCAAAGTTAGGTCCGTCCAATTTGGCCAGAATGGTATTCCATATCTCAATACCTACGATGGACGCACCATTCGGTACCCAGACCCTTTGATCAAGGCTAATGATACCATCAAGCTTGACTTGGAGAGCAACAAAATTGTTGATTTCATTAAGTTTGATGTCGGGAATGTTGTCATGGTCACTGGAGGAAGGAACAGGGGACGTGTTGGAGTGATTAAGAACAGGGAGAAGCATTAGGGTAGCTTCGAGACAATCCATGTGCAAGATGCTGCTGGGCACGAGTTTGCAACTCGTCTGGGAAATGTGTTCACAATTGGTTAAGGAACAAAGCCATGGGTTTCCCTTCCTAAGGGCAAGGGTATCTGGCTGTCGATCATCGAGGAAGCAAGGAAGAGGCTTTCTGCCCAGGCTGCTGCTTAAACCTATCTTATCTAAAGTTTGTCCAGAAAGAATTAGCTTGTTGAATGGATGCTCTGGTTGGCCCTCTGTTTTAACTTATTTAGGGTTTATGTATTTGTTTTTAGTTTCATTACTTATTTGGTTTGTGTTACATTTCAACTATCATTTATGCATTATTTTTCTTGCTAGTTGTTTTACTTGGATTTGAGTACTTTTTATCTTATAAACTAATCCCTTTTTAATCTAAAAGTTAATATAGGCATCTGCTGACAATGGTTTAATGAATTTAACTGTCATGTTAACCTTGGAAAGTATGTCCATTAACTAATAAGATATATTTAGTTTAGTGTATATACAAATTTTATAAACAATTTATAATTGTCAAAAAAATACAATCCGTCTTATGATTTATAATAATGACCTGCAGAATTTATAAATAAATTATTCTGAACAAAAAATTATACACAAGTTGGAATTTATGAAATCTTATTTTGGTTTGATTCTAGTTTAATCAAAATAAATTAGCTAAAACATTAATGTCAAAACACTTGTAAACCAGGTAGTTCCATCAACATGAAATAAATCAACTATCTCCTTTCAATCACAAAATTGTAAATTAAGATGTTCTTTAAATTGCAGCTTAAGATTATTATAATATATTACATGACGTGGATCAAGGGACAAAAATGCAATAAGATGCATACAATACTATTCATTTAAGGGTAAAGTATAAAAATAGTCCCTGACTATAAGACGTTATTTTACTAAGTCTCCCAACTATTAAAAGTTACAAAATGACCCTCTGATTATATGGCGTTACTTTTTGAGTCCCTTGACTATTTAAAGTTACAAAATAGTCATCTAACTATGTATATGTCTTAAACTCATTATTTTCCGTTAAAGAATTGACGAAAATTTGAAGTAGATGTTAACATGTTAGAGTTATGATAGTCGTTTGAGATTCTAAGATTAAAATTTATCATATATTATTGAAGACACTAAATTTCATCCGTTATATAATATTTGCTAACTATATTATATAATATACATACTTATATATATTTTTTTTATGTTTGTGTACATGCCCTTTACAAATAAAAAATAACAACATATGGCCCAAGTCAGCTACCCAAACCCACGCACAAACTGGTGCCCGAACCCAAATCAGCTAGGGTTTGGGAAACCCAAGCTCTTTCATCTCCAGCCGCCATGCACCTTGACCGTTGGATCAAGGTGTGATCCAACGGTCCATAGCAGACCCCTCTAGGGTTTCCAGAACCTAGCAACCTTTGCTCCATTAGCGCCGCAACCTCTTCACCGAGGTCCCCTCATACAGCATGTCTCCCAAGCAAGCCCCAAAGCCGCACGTTTGCCTCTAACGACCGAGATTCTCGGCCACGAACATCAAATCCGTTAGCAAGCAGTGTTTTAATAGGAATAGAATGCTAAAAATAAGAGTAGTAGAGTCCAAATCGGACTCTAAAAATAGCCGAATCTAAGGCTATAAAAGGATGTAATTTTCAAAGTTTGGGACACGGATTTTTCATATTAAATACAAGCAAAGTTACTAGCAAATCACAACCAAACGTTCAGAGCCATTTCGAAGGTTTCTTGTAATATTTCGAAAAGAAAGGTAAAAAAGTTCATACCTTTGCGTGTTGTTTTTCCTTGTCTTGTGTCTTTGTTGTGTCTTGGTTCAAAAGAAACCCAAAAAGATCATTTCTAGCCGATGAACAGAGGGGCTTGGTCGGAATCTTCTTTAGTAGATCTAGCCCCCGAGGCTCGTTTTTTTTAAAAATATTTTGATTTTTGAAAACTAGATTAAAAAGCTTTGGAAAACAAAAAATAATAATTTTTGCCGCCGATGAATGGCGGCCGACGAGGTGGTGGGGCCACCGAAATCTGGAAATTCGCGGCGGTGTTCATGTGTTCTTCAAGAACACAAGAACAAGTTGAGAGCATTTTAATGGGGGGGCTTCGGTTTCAAATGAAAGGAAATGGAAAATTAGGCCAAAGCATTGGCTTTTATACTGGACTCGATCCAGCTTATGACCCGACCCACCGAACCCCTCAAACCCGCGTGTTTTTAACAAGAAGGGGAAGATTCGTGTTTTGGTTCTCCAGGTTTTAAAACATTTAATTTAGACCCCGAATCAATTTTTAAACCTCGATTTTCTTTTCATTTGGACACTAAATTTGGTTTACATTTCAATTTAGTCCCGTTATGATCATTTTACTATTTTTTTTTATTTTTTTATTCCTATTTATTGTTATTATAACCATTATTATTACTTTTAATATAAATATTATTATTATTATTTTTCCTTTCATATTATTTTATTTGTTTATTTTATTTCTTTTTATTTTTGTTTACAAATTATTATATATATATTATCTTTTATTTTTTTATACTACTATTATTATTATTATTATTATTATTTTCTTCTTATTTTACTCATTTATATGTATATATATTACTTATTTATAGGTTTCTCTATTTTCTATTTATTGTTTTCGTTCATTTGTTTTGTTTTTTTTATATTTATGTGTATATATATACATTTGTTTGTTTTGGTACAATACTTCTATGTATGCATAATATATTTATTACCTTTTCTATTTAAAAATATCATATTCTATTATTATTTGTATATATCATTTGTTTCATTCTTCCTTTTATCTTTTTTTGTTGTCTCTGTGTTTTTCTTGTTTTGTTTCTGTTTTTATTCTTTTTCCACTTTGTTATATATTTACGCATGTTATCATTTTTATTCTGTTCTATTTGTATGTCTACTCATGTTATCGTCTTTTTTTCAGTTTTGTTGTTGCTCTCATATTTACATGTGTTTTTTTCTCCTAATTCGATCTTGTATTTCAATATAAGTCTAACATCTTTAAACTCTTAAGGGAATTTTCACCAATCAGAGGTAAGTAACTGGAATCTTATTTTTACCTTTAAATTTAACTTGCAACTTTCTTAATTTAAGACAACTGTAAATTACATAGTACCAAAAGGGCAGTTCATGGGCGCTAACCCTTCCTTGACTGTAACCGACTCCCGAATCCGACACATCACTGATACAACGCAGATCAGGTAAGAATCCGATCTACCTATTTATTTTTAATAAAAGATCGGTGGCGACTCCTAATCCACATTTTTCAAGTCGAAGCCCAATTCCAAGGTCTAACCAAAAGACGGTTCTGACAGCTTGGCGACTCCGCTGGGGACATAGGTAAGTGAGTCAGGCTAAGGTAATTTCCAGTTGTCTTTTTAATGAAAAGGGTAAGTTTAAATTTTAAGGTAACATTTCGATCCTTATTGCTTACTTTTGATTATATTTTTGAGTAAATATTTGTACTAATCGTTTTCTAATGATTTTAGCCTTCAAAGCTTCTTTTTCACTTAAGGCTCTATACCCGAGCTCTGAACCTTGTTTTAAGTGGGGGTGAAAGCGACGCATTCGTGTGAATTTATTCACCGCGAGGGCCTAACAAGTAGCCTTCGAGATTCATATACCTTATGTCTTCGTGTGAATTTATTCACCGTGCGGGCATAAGGGAATGTGTCCTCTCGAGTTTAACTTAGTCCACACGAGCCTGTGATGGGTTTAGGACTAAGGGTCTGGCAAGCCCAAGGGGGCACCATCAAGGAGAACTCGGGTACCGTTTTTTAGAACCTAAACCGGGAGACTATGGAGAAATATAGCCTACCCCAAAATCCCATTTCAAACCCTAGGACATTTTTGCCCTAACCATGTTTTTTTCCTTCTTAATCTTCTTATTTTTCTTTCGTCATTATTTATTTATTTATTTATTTTTATTTTACTGACTTGTTTGCCTTTGTGTTTGTTTTTTAGCATTTGCATCATTACAAGAGGCTATTGATCCTTAAAAAGTGTTTGTTACACACAAAATAATCTGAATTAATGGACAAAGGTGTTGTAATACAAGAGATTGAAAACCCCGAGGTACGACTATGGTCCGAGAAGACTCAGAAGGAAAAGGGAGACAGTCTTCAAGGAAGTTATGTGTCAGAGCTGGTTAACTACGCCTCTATCAGCCTAAAACAGAACAATATATGCAAGAGCTTCGAGACATCTGGGACAGTTGGAAGAATGATCGGAAATAGAAGTTCAGCCAACGATACGGTGACATTGTACTTTTACTTCATGTTAAGACTGATGAGCCCTTAATCATAGCCTTGATTCAATTCTGGAACCCGGGATACAGTTGATTCACCTTTAACCGGGAGGACATGGTACCCACTATCGAACGGTACACTACATTATTGCACTGCGAAAGCATCAGACTAGAGAGGGCATATATCAAACACATCAAGAGTCAGCCTTTCAATAATGGATTGGCTAAGATTGTAGGAGTTGATGAAAAATGGGTGACTGATTGACTCCGACACAAAAGTAGCGGGGATGGAATCGAGTGGATCCACATAAGGCAACTAATGAAGAACCACCCTGATGAATGGAAGACTATATACTTTTTTGCACTAGGTCTGTATGGTTTGGTAATCTTTCCAAAGACTTTGGGGTGCATCGACGCAGCCGTGGTAGAACTATTTGAATAACTTCCAAGGCGAGTCAACCCAACACCGACCATTTTAGCCGAGACCTTTCGGTCTCTCAATCATTGCAGAAGAGCTAGTGGAGGAAGGTTCATTGGGTGTGTTCAGCTCATTCAAGTCTGGATTCACAGTCACTTCTGGAAAACTAACGGGGTTACCTACCGCTGATTCAACACTACCTATTCACCTTTGGGAGAATTCATAACTAGGAAATGGCATGAAGGTGCTTCAAGGGAAAAGTGGATGAAAGCCTTTACAC